AATAAAATAATAACTGAGTATTATATGGTTAACAAGAATAAATAAAATTTTTATTTTTTCTTATATCAATGAATAAATATGTATTCTAAAATCAAATAAATATTAGTATGACGTGTTGGCGGAATTAAATATTAATTAACATGTTAATTTTTTAGCTTAAATAAACGCCACTTATTAAAAGATGTGAAATATGGATGATCCAAGCCTATTGTTTTTTTGTCTAGACGTACAAGTCCTATAGAAATAATTGATTTATTATATGTATCATGTGCATCGCACGGGGTATGCACTAGTTTTTTTTATAAATATATAGATATGCACTCATGTTGGTTACTCTGAAAATTCATAAATTAACAAATAAAATTACAAAATAAGTATATATGAAACACAAAAATTATTCATATGTAGAATTATAAGTATCCAGTCTTGTTGTCTATAAAAAGTTTGTAAGTACTACTAAAAAAATTATTCACTTCTCACGTGACAACATACATCTGGTCAACTTTGTTCAGTTCGCAAAATTCAGTTGTTGATGATCCATCCTCCAGTACAAGTGGTCTAGCGTCATCGTGGCGTTTGCTCTGGCGACTACTTCTTTCGCCAAAAATAAAACCTTTCACGTGGTGTTTATCAAACTGGGCGATCCCTTCGGAAGAAAACCTCTACCGAAGGCATATTAATTCAAATGTTAATTGTCACAGATGCGGGTGTTGGGAATCAGATAACCATATTTTCTTCAATTTTTGGTGGGTGAAGAAGTTTTGAAAACGGTGTGGTTGGTGGGATAAGATATCAAAATGGCGGGGGCAACATTTATGAATGAGGCTTGTGAGTATCTCAGATGCGGTAAGGGAACATATTTCAGGTTTTTTGTTATGTTTCTTTGGCTTGTGTGGCAGGATAGAAATCAACTTTTGAAGGGTGGTCGTCTGAGTGATATTAACGAGATGATTGATGAAGGCTTCATATGGGTGGAGGACTAGGACAAAGCTCAGGCTTGTACTATTTTTTATTCTATTGCGAGCGTTGTGAAGGACCATTGGGCTTGGACAAGAAGAAAAGGAAAGGAGAATGTTTTTATCTTCAATGTGATACAGTAAGAGAATCTGAAATTGGCTTGGGAGGTTGGATAAAAATTTTCAAAAGGCCTTGTCATCACGGTTTTTGCATCCCATATGTCAAGTTCATTCTCTCAACATTGGGAGTGAAGATCAAACAAGTCACCACAGGTTGTCTTGAAGTAGTGCAAGGATTGATTGCGAATGATTCACATCACCTTTTGGAATGCATTTTCTCGAATATCCTGGCACTCTTAGATTATTTAGTAGACTGTGGATTCTATCAGTATACCAATCGCGACTTCATAATGAGATTGCTCACGCCATTGCTAAGTGGGGGGTGGGATCTGTTAGAATATCACTTTTGAGTTGTCTCACATCGTTCATACATTGAAAATAGACCCACCTTATAAGTTTAATGGGCTACTCATCCTTTAATTGATTTTGGGATGAAACCCCACTTAGGCTTCATATGAGTTTTTCCTCTCATGGTGCGCTTCATGTTAGTGGGACTACACTCGTTTTCCCCCCGTTTCTTACAGGATCAAAAACCACGATAATGTGGTCATGTTGTATTCCAATCTTTTTTTTTTCTCCTCTGTTCTATAAGAACTTGATGGTCTTATGGGATTATCGAAAAAAAAAAGAAGAAGAAATATACTCATTAATTTATGTGATATTTTAGTGGGAGATTCTATGGTCCCGTTATCATTCTGTCGGGTTTGTAAACGTTAGATCACCTATCCACGACGATTACATGATGATCTAATGGCTGACGGAATGGTACCGTAACGGGACTATAGCATTTCCCTATTGTATTATAAATTTATATGATGTTGCACAAATACTTATTGTATTTTGTCTGAAATTCATTTTATTTTGTTTCGCCCACAATATTTTCCTTCCAAATTACTTAACATGGATTAAGATTTAATAGTCACAAATATGATCATTTTTTTTTTCGTATTTAAATAATACAGCTTGTGTAACTTGTTATGATGTCTTTTCATTAATAGAAATGTATGGTCTCGTTACGGTACCATAATGGGATACTAGCATTTCCCTATAATTAAACCATTTTTATCCTCATCATCACTGTCTTATGTCCAATTAAGAAAAGATTTCCTATTTATCCGGGCAGTAAAAATTGTCGGATTCTATGTCCTTTGCTACCAGTTATTAATTCAGAGTGTGAATTTCTTATAAACCAAAATAATAAGAATAATAATAAAAAAATAAAATAAAATAGCCTTATCTCTCCTCTGAGCATAGAGACAGCAGGAAGCCAATAATTTGTTTTTATCCTACCTTTCCATTGATTTTGCTACAAAACTTTATCATCCATAGCTCTTTACCTTTTGTTATCCTTATCTCCATACATCAAATAAAAAA